TCGATTTTTGGCTGAAGTTCCGGGGGTGCAGAGATCAGGGTCTCTGTCTTGTTAGCATTGAGGACAAGAAAGTTGCTGGACAGCCAGTTACTGATCTGGGTCAGGCAGAGTACAAGTGTGGCCAGCCTGTCCAACTGGTGTGGCATAAAGGACATGTAGAGCTGAATATCATCACCGTAGATGTGGTAGGAGATGTCTGGGAAAGACTGAATGATGCCAGCTAGGGGAAGAATATAGAATGTGAATAGTAGAGGCCCTAGAACTGAACCTTGTGGGACCCCGCATGTTAGAGAGGCAGTGTCTGAAGAGAAGGCTTCTGACTTCACTGTGAATGTTCTGTTGGTGAGATAGGAAGAGAGCCAGTCTAGAGCAGAACCTGAAATCCCAGCCAGGGCCTTCAACCTGTTTAGTAGAACGTTGTGGTCTACAGTGTCAAAAGGAGCCTAAGTCTCCTCCCCTTCTGGCTGGCTCATGGGTCCCCGATCAAAAACAAAAAACAAAAACAGAATGTTAGTGAACTGGGCTATAAAAGTTATTTTCTTGTCTTTCTGGGCTTTGCCTTACGCCCTGAGTCACATCTGTCAGACTTTTCTAATCCTAGAGTTTCACCGTCTATCAGATTTTCTTTTTGAAGCTAAAGCAGGAGATAGCGGCAGGAGACTATGTTCGTGTTCAGCCTGCATGAAACACTCAGTGACACGTTAGAATCAGAAATAATCATTTAATGTATTTTTTTCAGTGAAGTTGACCTACGTTATATATTGACCTACAACAGATTTGTTAGATTTCCAAAATGTGTCCCCCCCAATATTAAACTCGTTCCTACGCCCTTGGGTACCATTTTTTTAGGCCACGGTTGTCAAACTCAAGCCCTTGGTCTATTTTTATTTGCCCCGCGAAATCAAATATCAAATATATAATATTAAAACTGGCCCGCCGGGCGATTTTGCTGATAAGACTACTAATCCCACAGTGCTTTGCGGCGTTAGCGCGCGAGACGAAGCAAGCCCTCTTTTATGTTTACGATCATTAGCATCCATGCTAGTAGAATCAGTGTGTGCAGCGTTACCCTCAGTCTTAAACAACTGAAGATACTCTAAGCGCCCAGTTTACTCAGCGAGTTTCCGACTTTGAACGCCTAAAAAGAAGGTATCTGGCTGGAACAGGTGACCATCAGAGTGGAGAGAACTGAGCTTGAAACATTTAATTGTCATGAACTTTTTCTGCTCCAAAGCATGAAAGTTAATAACTGAGATATTTTCATAGAAGATAATTGCTATTTTTGGTTTTTGTTGTTGGCCTGTAAAAAAAAGATTCAACTTACTCTAAAATGGGAACTGGACAGACTACAAATGGAAGAATAGAATAGAAAATCCCTTTATGGTCCCTCAGTGGGGAAACTGTGATGTCACAGCAGCAATAACGTTCATTACAGAAGCCAAACAGGAGAGTAAAACATAATAATAAAGAGTAAACTAAAAGAAAACATAAAACAGACAAACTTAAAATATCCAAAAGGTAAAACAATCTAAATACTGAATATGTACACATTGTAAGGAGTAAAAAGAGTAAATAAAAATTGAGAGTAACGAGTGATGTGCTTTATTTAAAATGTACTTGCTCGTGTGTAATTTGGTCATATCAGATTCTGTGTTCAGATGCAAAAATAAGTTTCTTTCCAATTGAATAACAAGACATCTGTAAATAAACTTTTCAACAAATATTGAGTTTGGCCCGCAATTTTGTCCCAGTTTTTAATTTTGTCCCATTGTGAATTTGAGTTTGACACCCCTGCTTTAGGCTGTGCGTGCAGTAATAAGGAGACAGACACTGGCTGAGCCGGTGCATAAATGTTAGATTTTCTGGTGGTGTGCGATAGTTAAAGAAATATTATTATTTTTTTAAATAAAATACATCTTTAAATTTTGGCCAATGAGCTCTGGCACATAATAAACAGAAATACTGCTTCATCATTTCATGTACCTTTGAATCTACAGTTGGTCTTATTTAAAAATGTTTTTTTATTAAAACTATCATAGCTGGAGTGTTAAAAAAATAAAAGTGCCATAAGATATTTGGAAGTTGTTATTTTATTTCTATTACCCAACAGTTATCCAATTCATGTTTGTTCTGTTTTTGTTTTTTTTTTTCCTCTAGGAATCATTGAGGCGTGACATCCTTCAGAGGTTTTACGATCGACTGTCAAGCATCTTGGAGAGGCAACCTGTTGATGTGGGAGGGAGAGGATATACTTTCTGCTCTTTCCTATCTGAATACTATTATCCAGCAGGAAAGAGATAATCAAAAGACATTAATAACAGTACACGTTGAAAGAGGTTCTCGTGGCCGTCAACGATTGGCGGTGTCGCGAGAGGCTCTCGAACACCTTGTGGAAATGGGTCTGCCAACAAGTGTCATTACCAAACTCCTTGGTGTATCCAGAGCAACTCTGTTTAGACGGATGTCTGAAGATAATATATTTATTTATATATTTGTATCTGCCACATACAGTAAATGCAGTGATGAGGAACTAGATTATTTTATCACAGTAATTAAGAGCAACATGCCAGATGCTGGGTACAGGGTAGTCCGAGGTGCTCTACTTGCCCAGGGACATAGAGTACAGTGGGACCGACTGTATGCATCCATGCATCGTGTGGACAGTGCGGGTGTACTTGCTCGAATGACACATCTGGGATGTGTAGTGAGAAGGACGTACACAGTTCCTTGCCCAAAGTATATGGTGCACATTGACACCAATCACAAGCTCATCAGGTAATGTCTGTGTGTAATTGGAGATGTTATTTTTTGTTTTGGGAGTTACATTTTTAATTGTCTGTGTTTTAACCAGAACCTCCCTGAACCGTCTACAGGTGGTTCAGAATGCCTGTGCTCGGCTTCTGACCAAGTCCTCCAAACACACCCACATCACCCCACTTCAGCTTCATTGGCTGCCAGTCAACTTCAGGGTTCATTTCAAGATCCTAGTTCTGGTCTATAGGACCTTACATGGACAAGCACTATCTTGCATTGGTGATCTTCTTAGTCCCTACACCCACAGCAGGTCCCTGAGGTCCAGTGATCAAAGCCTACTGGTTGTGCAGCACCAGGCTAAAGACCAAAGGTGACAGATCATTTGCTGCTGTGGCCCCCAGACTCCGGAACTCTCTCCCCCTGAGCCTGAGATCAGTGGACTCAGTGGTCTCCTTTAAAAAGCAGCTGAAAACTCACCAGTTCAGGCTGGCTTTTGTATGACCTTCTTCACCACTCTCTCTTTATTCTGCTCTCCCCACCTATTCCACCTTCCTCAGGATCCACTGATTTCCCTCTTTCCTATTCACTCTCTTTTTCTTAACATTTTTTTAATCACAATTGTCTACTTTTTGCTCATTTTAAATATATTTTAACCATTTTCTGAAATCTTTTTTATATTTGTACACTTTGTTTTTGTGAAGTGCCATCATTATTTTTATCTTGAGAGGCGCTATAGAAATGATATTTCCTTCTTCTTCATCCGGAAATCACAGCCCTTCGCAGCTTGTCTCAGCTGAGTACAAAACTGCTGCACGTTCTCCCCTTGTTTCTGGACCAACTTGTGGAAAGAATGACGAGAATACGGTGGGTTTACTTGGGGAACAAAATATGCATTAAGTGCATCCACTGCCGTGTTGTAGTCCTCCGCTCCTCCCGTGTTCAGTAGCGTGAAGAACACATCCTGAACGTCCAGTCCGGCCAGGTGCAGTAAAAGAGCATGTCTACGCTGCACCATCACATCAGACGTTCCGTCGGCGATGATAAGACCTTTCCCGTCCGCATACAACTCGAACGACGCCAGCCACCACGTCCATCTTGATCCGAGAGTTGCGGGTTCTGTGTAGCATGCAAATGGATGGATCCGCGTCTTCTCCATCATGACCGCACCTTTTTTTTTTTTTTCAAAAAAATTCCTGTTTTCACACACTCATCTCCATTATCCTCGTTGCCATTGTTGTGTGTCTATCTTACTTCATTAATCAGATAGGACACTGAATTGAATCAATACTTGCTTTAATGAACAACTCCTGCTTTGTTGCATGTTGCTTCCCGCCAGCCTCATCTCATTCCACCGCTTCCTTGTTCTTCTTCCTATGTCCCGTTACGTCATCACGTTCCCAAGACATGACAGACACGTCAAATGTCATCATGATGCCCCGTTTTATTTATTTATTTATTTTTTTTTTTTTTTTTTTGTGTGTGCGACCCACTCCTTCACTGGGGTAGAAAAGCTGCTTGTATTCTAATATTACCATTTAATGGCATGGATAAAAGCATGAAGGACAACAATCATACTTTGTTCTGAATTTGGAAATGACCTCTGAATTCATCAAAGATATTTTTTTCTTTTAAATCAGGAGTCACAAAAACACTTCTACTTTCATTTGACTTAAAAACACATAGAAACACATTTTTATCTTCTACAAATTTTACCATTATGTTAACAGAAAAAAATGTCATTTCATCTATGAAAAATGTTAGTTTCTGTTTCAAATGATCAAAGTAAAGATTTAAACAACTCAAATAAATTCTGGATTGCTAGAGAGATTCATGTTTTCATTTTATATGAACATAATTCTAAAAGTTTATTATAAATACAAAAATTACCTTCAGTAAGAGTTTAGACATGAATTTCTGAGAGCGGTCTGGTGCATGTTCCTTGGGAATGAAACAAAAGTTGGTTTCACTTTTTATATGACAAACCGTTTTTTTTTTTTTGTCTTGTCTTGCTAATGAAACAGCTTTTATAGAGATGCTATTCAGTTTTACATTTCAGCAGGAGAGCTGCAGGAATTTTACATTATGAAGCCTTACTTAAGTAATAACTGTTCATTTTTCCTTTAATTATTCAAAAGAAACGTCTTTACCCTAATATTTTACACCTGATAGCAAAATGAAATGTTTATAGTTTCACTTAACTTCAGTTTCATTGGTTAAGAATTTGCACTGAAGAATTTTCCACAACATTTGTGATACACATTCTTTTTTATTCTTGCATTACTCCTGTTTGATTGTTTGCTTTTTACTCACAGTTTGATATTTTTATTAGAAATTAGAAAGTGAAAACATCTCAATAATCCACCTCTGTTCCCATTTCCCCACAATGTTTTTCTCTGTTTCTTTATGAATATCATGAATAAAAAAATTACAGGAAGTGTTTTAAAAATGAGTTTCACAGACTGGATGTTTAAATAGTTCTTACCCCAGATGTTTAGTTCAACCCTCAACTGTCTGTTCAAATGGAGATCAGAATAAAATAAAAACTTTTTTGGTTAAATTTAAACAGTTTTTATCACTTATACACATTGTGGTTTGCATCGGTACAAAAAGCTTTTGGGATTTTTCAGATTTTTGAAGCAGCACGTGTCCTCAGAGGAACCTGAGCAAATAATATATTTATGACTTTTTTTGCTTCAGTAATGGGAAAAATGTGCATAGGTGTCAAAAACGGAAAGTTATGGATAAAACGGCAACTACTTTTTACAATCACATATTTTCATGAATATCCAAATAAAAATAAATCATCTGGATGTGATAAAACTCAACAGAGGATGAGGATGACAAACATAATAAACAAGGGTAAATTGGATGCTCGAATGTTCAATCCAGCAAATGATCTGACCACTAAATTCGTTTAACTTAAATAATTCAGACAAAAAAAACATAAATACTATAAAAATGCAGACATGACTAATCACAAACCTGAATGATAAGGTTTGATGTATCCCGTTGACCTTTTGATCTCAGCACCTCTTTCACTTTCAGCTGAATTACTCTGCCACGTATAACAATCAGTTTGTTCATGATTTACAGCTTGTAAAGCTTACAATGACAAATCTGGGGTGCAAAACAAAAATTCTAATACACATTTTGTGATTTATTTTTGCATATTTACACCTAAAATTTGTTCGATCTTTAGTAAAGCATTTAAAGCATAATTCCTGGTTTGCATGACTATAAGCACTATTATCAGATTACAATTGCAGGACTATTCCCAGTAACACAATTGCTGTAATGCTGTTAAATGTTGCCCCTCTGATTAAGTGATATATCACTTGCTGGTGGCTAACAGGAAGTCACAAAGTCAGTTTTTCCAGCGTAACATAAAGGCCACAGTGACACAAAACCATGTAAAGCAGCTACAACACACAGCAACGCCTTTTCTCACATCTGCTTACATCTGTACGCACTGTGGATGTGAATTTGTTAAAGGTAAATTGTTTTATTCAGTTTTCTTTAGCCGTGTCAAGTTTGGGAATCAAACTAAAGTGCAAAACTTGAATTTCTTTTTCATATTCATTAATACATTTTGCATCAGAGGAGACAAACTCCCACAACGCCTCAGTGAAAACCATCCTCAACCTATGATATTCTGAGTAGTTTGCAGCAGCATGTTTGTAGGCTGACATGCTTCTGTTTGCATTCAGTGTCATCCCCTCTCCTGTTCAGTACAGGGTCACCGGTGAAAGCATGCAATTCTCCTACTGTCTACAAAAGAAGCCCGAGTCATGGTAGTTTACCAGTAGGTGGCGTTAAACACTTCACAATCATCCACTACATCATTTACATGCAGAAAAAAAGTCCAACAACTCTCTGTGTCAAACTCCCAAGCCCATCTTCAGAATTCAATCTTGCAGGCAGGGAAGGTCTCATCCTGCATGGCGACCGTGCTGTTGGATCCCAGGACCGAGATGCTGAGCTCCCGCTGCCTGCCCAGCGTCTGCTGGTACCACTCCTGCATCAGCATCGACTCAAAAGTGGGGATCACTGTCACCTGGACACAGAAAAGAACAGAAACCGCTCAAGGGTGCTCAATGTTTCTTAATGTATTACACACCATGTTAGTTTTTTATTACAAATTTTAAAGAGGGCATAAAGTATGAATGAATGCCCTGTGAGTCGTTCTCTGTAGAGATAAAGCTCTGGCAATTCTGTTACAGGAAGTAGGAGTTGGTAATAATCATTATATGCAAACATCTTGCCTCTGATTGCTTAACAGCAACGTGACTACCACCGAGTCTGTTTGCTTTGCAATGTTGATGTTTTATTGCCACAAATAACAAAGAGTTGACAGAGTTCTGCCATCTTGTGGAGTCGCTAGCGGTTAGCTTCTACTAGCCGAGACATGCTCTGCTCTCTCCTGGCTGCAAGATAAAACCCACAGCCTTCCCTGTCAGGAGCCAAGATGGGGAAGTACATGAATCAGTCTGCATGTGAAACTCAGAGTGACTGATCATATTTTAAGAAGTAACAAGGACTACACTGTGCTTCTACCTGCATTGGATCCGGCCAGGATGTCTTGCCTTCCAGCAGTGCATCCAGAGTTTGCTTCATCAGCTCCTCCCGCTCTGGGCTGTAGCCGCTGACAATGTAGCAGGAGGAGCGAATGCACCTGAAGAAGTCAACAGTGACTGTAGGAGATGAGGCTCCAGAGGGAATGTAGGCCAGGTCAACATACACACCCACCTCCCCAGCAGATGTCGTCTTGGAGCCTGAGGCAGAGACAAATGTCTTAGGAATGACACGTGTCTGGTTAACACCAACAAAGGTGAAACAGGATCAGAATACTACCAGGAGTGGGTGAGGTTTTTGCTGGTGCCGGTTTACTGCTGGAGGAAGAAGTACGAGCTGTGGAGATATTTCCTTTTATTACTCCACTTTGGCTCCCCATTCGATTTTTCCCTGCGCTTGATTTTTGGGGACCATCTACAATCTGGTGGAACAAGAAGGAGTAAAAAAGTGTATAAAGTGATCCTATAAAATAATGGTTGACTGGTTCTGAGGCACCACATGCAGCTAACTTTTGAATGGATACTCACAGCCGAGATTTTTTTGCCATTGTTTCCAGTGGTTTTTGTTCTCTTCAGGTGAGCTTCAGAGTCAAACTGAGGAACGGGCATCGAGGTGTCAGGTTGGGGAGGAAGGGGCGGACTGTCCCTGAGAGGAGCTGGGAGAGGGTCTGGGGGCAGAGGTTGGCTGCCGCTGCGGTCACACGGGGAGTTGGACGGGTCGCTACACGACTCATCCGAGTCCGAGTCCAGAACTCCGTCTGCTGTGGTGGACGGGCAGTCCTCTGTGCAAGCAGGGGCATTTGACTCACTTGGTGACCTGTCTTTGGAGTTGTTGTTGTTGCCATGGTAATTTGGAGCTCCTCTGGACGAGTCGCTGGCGCCGGAGCTTGAATCAGGCTGTTTGAAATGCTTAAACTCACATGGAGAAACCAAACACAGATCCACGTCATGAGCCAATGCCTCAAAGTGCAGCGAGTTGGGTGCAAAAGGTCTGCCCATCTCTGAACTTTGACCTAAAGATCGGGGAGGCTGTTTCATTGGTAAAGGCATTCCCACAAAATATCCACCATTGGAGTGAGAGTGATAAACGCTGTCATCTCCTTCTCTCTGGCTCGCTGTGGTTGGGCCTTGCTCAAAGGACATGGACAGGGACTCATCTACTTCAGTGGACTGAGGCGAGCTCACCTCTGCTGGTAGTGAGTGAGTGGTGGTGGTTGTCACAGACGGAGAGGGCTCTGAAGATCCCTCTTTAAATGCACCCAAAGACAGGAAACTTAGATGTTTCTCTTTGGAGATTGAGCATTTTTCTGGAGTGCTTTTGGTTTGACAGGACGGGCCCTCACTTGGTCTGGCGCCACTTGGCTCAGAGCCATCGGCCACATCAAGGTTACTCATCTGGGCCTGTAGCCGGCTCAGAGCAGCCCTGTTGCACCAAACATCATCCGGGGACAGGCAATAAGGGGTGTGGCCTGCGCTGTTGGGACGCGAGTCAGGAGAAACTGGCTCCACTGTCTCCTCATCAGGGCTGTTAGGGGCTTGGTTCTCTGGAGATGAATGTGAGGGAGGGGTGTTTCTCAAAGCCCCATCCAGAAGCGTGTACTCCGTCGGGGTTATGTCCAGCTGGACTGTACGCTCTGCCTTTGCCGTCTTGTTCAAAGGAGAGGGAAATCCTACCACCATTGCAGGTTTGTTAGCTTTAACAAGCTCTTCTGGAAGTTTTTTCTTCAAATCTACTTCTCCTTTTGTACTTGTCCCAGGTTGCACCACATTGTCACCCTCTACTTTAAATATTCCTGAACAACCCGCTGCCTCCCCCTCTGGTCCTTCAGATGTTTTATTACACCCGTCTCCACTTAAGGCTCCAAAGCTCTTCTCACTTTTGAACGCACAGCTTTTCTGTTTTTCTTCATCGGCTCTTTCTACCTGCACCTCTTCCCGTTCATTTTCCTCTTGGAGCCTCAGAAAGTCCTCGGTCATTTCCTCAGGGGTAGACATCTTGGAGCCACGGAGGTCTTTTGTCTCCGTCTTTTGATTCTGTTCGTCAGCAACAGAAGACCCTGAGTCTGAGATCTCCAACCTAACCCCAGTTTTCTGTTTCGTCATCGTATTTAGTTCAGTGTTAGAAGATCCTTTCTTACTGTTGTTTGCTTCATTCCCTGATAGTTTTTGTGTTTTCTTCTCTCCTGTTTTGGAATCACGTTTTACATCCTTCTTGGTCTTTGTTTTATTTTCGCCCTTCGGTTTTAAGGGATCCCTTTTCATCTGCTCAGGCTTTTTAATGTTGTTCTCCTCTTTCTTTCCACTCTTCCCTGCTCCTTTCTTTGAACTACTCTTTTCTGAAAAGGATGCTTTGTGTTTTAAACTCGTCTCTTTGATCTTGGCTTTATCCGTATCTCTACCACCAACTCCGCTTAACATCTTTCCTTTCTCCTTCAGCGGTACATCCTTTCCCTCTTCCTTTACTCCTCGTTCTTTCCCTTGCTTGGGCATTCTCTCCTTCCCTTGAGATCTTCCACTCTCCAAACTATCAGTCCTCTTTGCCTTTCTGTCTTCTTCAATCTTTTCAAGGTCTCCAGTGGTGACTGTGGGTTTCTGGAGGAAGTCCAAGCCTTTGAGCTTCTCCAGCCCCTGGAGGAGCTTCGCCTGTGGAGTTATGCCCGGTAAAAGCACCCGGACCACCTTCTCTTGAGGACACGCTGGATGCCACACAAGCAGGACAGAAACAGAGACTAGGGCGGTAAGAGGGAGACTTTGGGACTTAGACAATGAAGACGAGGAAGTCCTATCAGGCCAGTTCTGCATGAATGTCTCATATTCCTGGCTGCCTTTTCCTGGGCTGAGGATGTATAAGTCCAGCTGTCCCACTCCCATCTTCTGGAACAGGGTTAGAGGTTTTATGGGAACTCCTTGTGGGCGAAACATTGGTTGTGGTCTGATGTCTAACTTCTTCAACAGCTGCAGGCTTACAGCAGCCTGCTGCATGCCCGTCAGTACATTGTCCTCGCCTAAAAGAAGAGACTGAACTCAAATAATTTTTCTTCCTGCTGGTAAAAATCTACTTTTTGCATAAAGGATAAAAGTTGCTGTGATTGTATGACTTACGTCTAACTAACGAGGATACATGATGAGAGTGTGTGCATACTTTTTTGTAAAACTCACAAGAGTGTTGCTGCTCCTGTAGTGCGCCAGGAGCATTAAAGAATACAACTCCGAGTTCTGGAGAGATAAGCCTCTTAGACGAGTCATCTGTTCAGACAAAATGAGAACATTCAATCATGAGTTATATAACAGCGAAGACATTTGTTAGAGTTAGGATGTTTAATTCTACCTTTGACATCCAAGCTCAGCTCCTTCTCAGCAACCTTCCTCTCCAGGAAAGAGACGACCCCAGGAAGGTTCTCTGGGCCGATGTGCGTCAACAAAACTGCATCGATTCTGTCGAGGTGGCGAACCAGCTTCCAGAAACAGGCCTGAGAGTCCGAGCCGCCGTCCACTAGCACCGTAAACCCATTGACGGCGAAGAAGGTGCAGTCGCCACGGCCGGCGGGGAACACGTAGCAGCAAGGACGGGACAGCTTGAGGAAACCCACAGTGGTGGGAGGAGGCAGAAGGTCAAAGGGAGATGCAGGGGAAATGGTCCCAGAAATGAGGGAAGTAAATTCCCCCAGAGACTCCATAGCTGGCAGCACTTCTGGGGGGTTGATTTGGAGAGTGAAAGGACCCTGCAGGGGCGGGTTCCTCAAGAGGATCGTTCTCCACTGTCCAGTGTTGGGACAACTGAGGGTCAGACTGGTTTTGGTGGTGGGGGGACAGGATGCAGAGCTCTTGTGATCTAGAAACTGAAGACAAAGTTGTCCTTACTGTACAGAACAGGTTTCATTTTGACAAGAGGCTCTTCTGTCAATGATAAACTTAAATCAGTTCTTTCCATTTTTGCGACAACTTTCTTGGTTTACATTTACATGAACGCAAACAGAAACATTTAGACTGGTGTGCCGGGTAAAAAAAATGCAGATTTTCATTTGGACTCACGCTGAATTGACACTTAATATGAAGTTTTATATAAATCCGGTCAGGCATGACTTCATTTGCAAACAAAATGTTTTATTAATGTTTTTTTATTTATTTACCTAATTTTATCTACATTTTAGCAATGAAAGTTCATTTTATTTGCTGTGTGTTTGCCCACCCTTCTGACAGCCACAATTCTCTTACTGTCAGACAATAAGAGCTCAAGTAAAATGGGTTGGAAATGGATGTTTGATAATAATTTTGGGAAATTTTTCAATGGCTCATTCAAGAAAATTGATTAAATTAGTAAAACACTCCAATGGCTAGAAAAGCGTGGGACACAGTTTTCAAAGGAAAGACAAAATAAGCCAAAATTGTAATAAAAATAAATAAATATAAAAATTAATAAATATCAACATAAATAATTGCTGCTTTAAGCTAAACCACACAACTTTCAATTCAGGAATGTTTTTAACAATAAATCTGAAAAAGTTAGAGCAGCAACTGAACATTTACAGTTGTGGATAATTATACCTGCTCTGTTATTATTTGTCTCAGATGATCTGGTGAAAAGAGTCCTCTATGAAACAGCAGGTCTCCACTCTCCTCCACACTCAGCCCAGCCAAGATCAGCAGCTTATGAGTCGAATCCCTGGACAGCAGCGCAAACACCTGACGGTGACGCAGAGGAGGAAAATAATCCAATGTGTAATATCACTTAATAATTTAATAAGCTGCCGCAATTTAAAAAGATGGAAACATCCAAAGCTCTCCGTAACATTTTTTTGTTTGTCTTTTAGTTTTACATCCTGCTCTCACCTCTGAGTGAGCTACTTCCTGAGAGGGATTGATCAGGACCTGAGTGTCCAAGACTCGGGTTCCGTGGCGCAGACACTTCTGTCCTGAAGAGGTGGACGCAAAGAGAAGGAAGGAAACAGAAATCAAAAGAGAAGCAAAAAGAGGACAGTCAGAGCTGAAGGAAACACGGGGATAACAGTCAAAGGGAACATGAGCGGTGATAAATGAGCAGGCAAAAGGGACATAAGGAGGAGGAGAGAAAGAACAGCTGAGTCAGAAAGCTGTCTGAGGGTGATGTGTGAGGTTTTCTCTGTAGCGGAAATCCAGTCTGAGGGGAACTGGAGGGAAAGTCCCAGATTAGAAAAACTATGAGCTTAATATGGAGAGAAGTCTGTTATCTTATACAATCCTGTGTTATGTGATTGCTATGATGCAACAATTTGGATTTAAAGTCCTTATTTATTTATATTCAGTTTGAAATATTGTTGTAGTCTTGAGAAGCAGTTCTTTGTGCTTTTCTCCCAAACTTTGGGTGTTTTAATGGATTCTGATTAACTCGTGCAGGCACCATCGACATATAAATATGGCAGGCACATAAACCACGCCGTTTGTTCTTCATTTATGAGTTTGGTTCCTTTTCAGATTCTATTCATCTGCCGTAAATAGCGTTCTTGGTCTCACACTTCCTCTTTTGTCCCCCTCCTGATCCAGTTTCCTCAGCATTGAGGAGCAAACTGAACGCAGTGACCAGACAGGCAAAGTTTTTCACTAGCTGCTCTTAAAATTCACTATTTTGTGGCTCAAAAACATATATTCTATTGTCCACCTTCGGTTTATTAAACCAACTAAAGAAACCAGAACAGATTATTAAATTATGTTCGTTTGCTCAAATCTGATTGCAAAAAACATGTGTAGTGAATGACTCCGCTGATATTAGTTCAACATCTATAATATTGACTGACCTACAGTCCTTATTATGGCTGCTACTGTCAGCTAGCTGCTGCAGCCACCTTGAAACGATTTAACTCGAAACGGTAATCCACTGCAGACACACGTCTACTGATAATTTTCTGAGAATTTCATAAAAAATCCTGATTCATCCATTTGCCTTGAATAAAGACACCTCTTCCCTGGTTTCTGCTTCATATTTACAGTAAAGGAATGACTAATATTGATCATTGTGTCCTCCTACTGGCAAAAGAGCTGATAAGTGCTGCGGTATTTATTGGAGAGAGTTCAGACAACCTCCCTGGTGTCATCCTGTGCAGCTTAGAGTAAATATGCATAAAAATCTTTTAGTTTATGTTGGTTTTTATGTGCAAACACAAATCTGCAGGTCTATTGTTTTCTGTCCTGACCCACCCAACTGCTCCACCACTTTCCTTCCTTCCTTCCTCAGTGACCCCACAATGGTAACTAGACACATTACCATGGAGACAGTGATTATGTGTATAAGTTCAAGCCATCTGGATGTGAATGATAGCTGCAGGTGAAGCAGTCTCTTACCTGCACCTTTAAAAGATGCCGTGTGATGGGAGAGGAATTCTTGGAGAAACAGGTCCAGGTTGCAGGATTTCAGGTCCACGTCCCATGAGCGAATCCCTGACGCCATAAAGGAATTACAGTCACAAACAACCAACTTGTGAGGCTAAAACGTGTGTCTTTTTCTTGGTGTGAACATTAAAGGGTTATATGGATTAGGATTTGGGGAATATTGTGAATTTTTTTCAATTGAAAGTGGGCTCTGCAGCTGGATTGTTCTAAAATTATGTTTTAACAGCAAGTCACCCCCTACAAGAGACTTACTTCACTCCCACTTAATGTTTGAAAAATGCAACAAATACTGTTGCCTGGCAGACCGAGAGGGCGGAGCTGCTAACAAATACACAAACACGCAGGCTTACAATGGCATTGTGACATCATAATGTACCAGTTTACATCATAGATCTCAGCCAATAGCGGTGGCAGATTTAAATTCAAATACAGTGCAGAGTTTTTACCTGACAACGGCGCAACACTGACAGTTTTAGGCAGAATATTTGAAATTTAACTAAAATGCACTGAAGTTCCAAATTATTGACTACACATGTCTGCAGCAGACTCTCGTTCATGTCCACTGGCGGCGTCCATGTTACATCTGCGTCACGACCAAAAACGACTCTGCCGAGTTCTACCGAACACCAACGAAAGCCTTTGGCGGTAGTTCTATCTCCCATCATGCTTCTGAAACAACGTCGACGCTGATTGGATACATTCCCATTCCTACCGTTTGATTTTCTTGTCAGCAATTGGTCGGCTGGTGCCGTCCTGTTTGGGCGATTCAAAAACAGCACACAGCCTTTCTGTCGCCTCCACCGCTCGGCAGAGAGCTTCTCATCAATATAGGTATATAAATATATGATTTGTTTTTGTTACAAAACACACAATTAACTTAGAATATGTGATTATTGTTAATTTTATTTATTCATTTTTTTAAAATAAAAATTAAAAACACTGGGGAAAACTGGGAGGGCGGTGCCCTATCGCCCTCTACTGGCCAGCCGCTACTGTTCATGTCATTTATCAGCAAAAAAAGGTTGGTTTGGGGGTAGCTTGCTCTTTAAGTGAATATCATTTTGTTAAAAGAGAGAAAAACAGAAAAGCATGACCCCCCCCCCCCCCCCCCAACTTCATGAGAAGTAGGAAGTTTATGACAATTCAGTAGAATGTGGCTTCAGAAGGCAGTGGTTAAATGTTAATTAGCCCACATCTTGTGCTATATTTTTCTGACACCACCATGTGCGTGTGCACGCGCGCGTGATACCAGGCTGAGACCACACAATTACAGATATTCTCTAATAAAGCAGCCGAAATCCGCACAAAGGTTGCAGGAAAATCGCTTTTAAAGGCTGCGCATCTCCTCCACCTTTCCCCCCAGGAGGATGTCCTCACATAACAACAAGCAGAGGCGAAAGACAAGCCCGTTCCAGTCTGGTTTTAATTCTAATGCACCCAGAGGGATGATGAGGGGGATGCTGATTTTGTTGTCAGATGACGCATCCTCGATCCTCAGGGTGAATTAAATCACACAACGCTGCAAAGTGTTCGATGTTTCAGCCCAGCCGAGGTTTTACACGCACAACTCGCAGGAATCTGTAATTCGTATCTTGTTTTTTTTTTCACCTAACCTAGAGAAAAAGCCAAAAGATCGCCGCTCTGGCCATGCACCTACCTCTTTCGACCTCCCTGCTGATGTGTTCCGTCTGTCCGTGGCGAGCGGTCCGTCCAATTATGATGAGCAGGGAGTATTTGTGGAGGCAGAAGCCGAGGTTTGCGGTGGCACAGACCTCCCTCTCCAGCAGCCGGCTGGACGCCATGTTGGAAACTCTTTGGGTGTGATGTCATTAAGAAAAAAAAAGCCCGACTGAGCCTTTTACAGCATTACTGAGTCTGACGATGACTGGAGCACTGCCGCGGACAAGTGCGTTCAACATGCGGTAAAAACATCCCAACGTTTCCATCAATGGTCTTCATGCGATCAATAAGGAAAGTTTGGAGGATCAAAATCAAAGCAGCTCAATTTTTAAAAGAAATGCGCTCAATGAAATTTTATTTTATCAGTCATTTTATTGATTTTTTTCTGTTACAAACACATTCAATTCCGTTTTCCCCATAACAGACTTAAAAGGGCTAATATACACATTTATGACCACGACTGCATTTTTAGAAAATCAACAAACACAAAAAGATACATAGAAATCAACAAGACTTAACTAAATTTCGCATCTTATATTCTATTCTCCAACCCAACAAATCATCTGTCATTTCTACTTTATAAACATTTTAGCACGTAAAAGTTGCAGGCAGTCCCTCGAGGACAGCTGCAGAGCGTCCCAATACGCGCGCCTTTGCGCACGGCGCACGGCTCCCCTGCGTCACACTGCAAAGATAATACAATATTTACTGTAACTACAGTTAACCAGTAAATGTGTAAAATTACATTTTTGGTGCAAAAACTTTTACTTCATTGTTTTTATTGAGTATGTTACTGGTTTTAAGCATTTTACTCACAGAAGGCAACCACCCAAGCTTCTTCTCCAAAGGCATATCTTTGTTTCTCAACTTTTCCAAAACTTCCTGCAACGCGTCGATCTGCACAGAAAAAACAATTCTTATACTTTTAATGAATATTTCTTTTTTTTTCTTTTTATGGAACAAATGTAGAGACTCAGAAACGTGGATTGTTTTGGTCAATTTTGCATAATTTCCCACAATTCTCAAAACGACATAATTACTGTAACATTCGTCTAACCTTCACGTTCACACACAGAACGAATCTCTCACCAGGTCTTTCTCCTGCTGTGTTTTCAGGGCGAAATCCAACGAGCGCGTCTCGAGAGAGGAGTCTTCATCAGCACGAGCGCACCACAGGTAAGCACAGCAGCAGGTGACGATGAGGAGGAGAGTCCGAAGGCTGACCATGGTGCTGAAACACAGACAGGAGGTCCTTGGAGAAAACAACGAGAGTGAAGGATCTCCCGCCTAATGCAGCATCATTATATAGACACTTTGACATCAGCTAGACTGAAATATTCATTAAAACTTTGACTTTTGTGACACTGCTGCGCACCTTTGTATCTTTGAGAGGAAATCAAACAGGTTAAAGATGGGTTTACCCAGAGCTGACATAGACAGACAGACAGACAGACAGACAGATAGACAGATAGATGATAGATGATTGATAGATAGATAGATAGATAGATAGATAGATAGATAGATAGATAGATAGATAGATAGATAGATAGATAGATAGATAGATAGATAGATAGATAGATAGATAGATAGATAGATAGATAGATAGATAGATAGATAGATAGATAGATAGATAGATAGATAGATAGATAGATAGATAGATAGATAGATAGATAGATGATAGATAGATAGATAGATAGATAGATAGATAGATAGATAGATAGATAGATAGATAGATAGATAGATAGATAGATAGATAGATAGATAGATAGATAGATAGATAGATAGATAGATAGATGATAGATAGATAGATGATAGATAGATAGATAGATAGATAGATAGATAGATAGATAGATAGATAGATGGATAGATAGATAGATAGATAGACAGACAGACAGACAGACAGACAGACAGACAGACAGACAGACAGACAGATAGATAGATAGATAGATAGATAGATAGATAGATAGATAGATAGATAGATAGATAGATAGATAGATAGATAGATAGATGATAGATGATAGATAGATAGATAGATAGATAGATAGATAGATAGATAGATAGATAGATAGATAGATAGATAGATAGATAGATAGATAGATAGATAGATAGATAGATAGACAGACAGACAGACA